CATACAAATTACCCGGCCAGAATATAATTTACATTGCTGGAATTCTTACAATTTGATGATCATTTTGAATATAAACATCATAGATTTTGCATTAGACATACAAATTTTAGATCTAATGTTTACTCTGAGTAAATATGTTATCTTTTGTGCAAAATATATGACATTTATATTCAAAATGTTCCTGGTCTTGCAAGGAATCCAGCAATGTCAATTATATTATCCTAACTTTAGTCTGAGGTATTATTTGTTACTAAAAGTTAAAATTAGTTTTTTCACCCAACATTTCTCTGGTAGGGAGGGAAGGTGGGGAGTGGTGGGAGGGTTGGGACCGACCGACCATCTGGCGCGGTTGGAAGAGGGGGGGGAGGCAAGTTGGGGTACTTTGATTGACAGATAGTGTCGTGATGAATATTTTTTTTTTATAAACTGAAGATATTTGTTTTAGCTCATAAAATTCATACAAATTACTGGACCAGAATATAATTTTCATTGCTAGAATTTTTACAATATGATGATCATTTTGAATATAAACATCATGGATTTTGCATTAGACAAACAAATTTTAGATCTAATGTAATAATTTGGTTTACACAAAGCAAGTATTTTATCTTTTGTGCAAAATATATGAAATCTACATTCAAAATATTCCCTGACCTGAAAGGAATCCAGAAATGTCAATTATATTATCCTAACTTTAGTCTGAGGTATTATTTATTACTAAACGTTAAAATCTAGTGTTTCACCCAATCATTTCTCAGAGAGGTAGGGGCCAGTGAGCTGGGAAGGGGGGCGGGGGGGGGGGATTTGAGTCTATTATTTGAATGGACATTAACCTGGCGCCTGTATTTCTCTTAAATATTAATTGTGTGAGCATACCATCATAAAATTTAGATGTTATTTTTACTACAACATAGGTATTGTGTCGGAAAAAGTGGAGTTTGGGGGTCGGGCCAGTCTCTATTGGAATTAATCCCATATGTTCTGTTGTTCCATTTACGCGGATTTCACTTTCCGCGGTACCCTGTGGGTTCAATTGACCGCGTAAATCGGGGTACTACTGTATTCAGTTTTTGGAGGGAGACTCCCCAAGATTTATCAGATCTTTAAGGGTTAAGTGACTGAGACCTGCCAGTAAGGTAAAGTAAAAATCTGATGCTAGTGGTGGAGCATAATTAGAGGTTGACATTTTATACCTGTTGTATAAGACAACCCCAAGTTTTGAACAAAAAATTTGAATTTCAAAAGTTGACTTATAAGCCACAATACCTGTACTGTACTATATGGTAACAGCCAAGGGAAAACCTTATTAATGGCTCTTGCACTAGAATTTAATGGAGAAGTAATGTAGCTATAGAGTACTATCAATAAATGTTGGAGTAAAAAACATGTCCATGGTCTTAAGAGGAGGAAATTCCTCTTATTATTATCATATTTTATGGCATATAAGGCGCACTGTTTTGTCTGAAAAATGGCTAAAAAAATCGGCCTGCGTCCTATATGTGAAGTTGAGGTCTCCCGGAAGCTAATGAATCCCCCAGTTGCTGCTGTCTCCAGTAGGCTAAATTCTACCTAACCCAAATCCAGATTTAAAAAAAAAACTGTTATAACTACTGTACTGATGATAAAAACATGAGATGACTAACGTCCGTACAGCAAACGCCCAACTTTTCAGAGGTAGCTAAGCAGTAACGATTTCTGAACTCTTATAAGCATTACAATCTATTAATGCCATACCTGCAACATCTATTTTTAAATCTACAAATATCTGATGTGTGTGTGTGTGTGTGTGTGTGTGAAGGGTATAGGTATACTGTAGTGCACTAAGGTAGTATAAGTTTCTATTTGCGGTTTTGCCTATTCGCGCCATTCCCTATCTCTCGTGAATAGCAAGGGTTTACTGTATATTATTTTAAGAAAACTATGGCTACAGGAGGAAAATACACACAAACAAGTTTTTCCTAAATATTCCTTGCTAAAATAGTAGGGGGGGGGGCATCTTATATGGCCATGCGTCTTATAAGCCATAAAATACTTAAATCATTTGATACTTAATTTCACATAAAAAAAGGACCTATTGAAAAAAAGAAGTGATTTAAATAAGAGAGAAAAGTACAGTATTACCCCGCTTAACGCGGTTTCGCTTAGCGCGTTTTACCGTATACGCGGTGCCTCGCCAGAGCCGAACTTTCACTTAACGCGGGTTTTTTCCACGTATACGCGGTGAGTGTCCGGCTCGAGAGCTATTTTTAGATTCGCCCCACCCCCCACCCGCCACCCTGCCTGACTGCCTGTTTTAGCTCATAAAATTCATACAAATTACCCGGCCAGAATAAAATTTACATTGCTGGAATTCTTACAATATGATGATCATTTTGAATATAAACATCATAGATTTTGCATTAGACATACAAATTTTAGATGCAATGTTTACTCCGAGTATGTTATTTTTTGTGCAAAATATATGACATTTGTATTCAAAATATTCCTGGGCTTACAAGGAATCCAGCAATGTCAATTATATTATCCTAACTTTAGTTTGAGGTATTATTTATTACTAAAAAGGTAAATATTCTGGTTTTCCCACACATCTGGTAGGGACGGTTGGTGGGGGGTGGGGGGAGGGAGGGACCGACCGACCATCTGTTACTGTGTGAAGAATATTTTTTTTTTTTTATTAACTGAAGATATTTGTTTTAGCTCATAAAATTCATACAAATTACCTGGTCAGAATATAATTTACATTGCTGGAATTCTTATAATTTGATGATCATTTTGAATATAAACATCATAGATTTTGCATTAGACATACAAATTTTAGATGTAATGTTTACTCTGAGTAAATAAGTTATCTTTTGTGCAAAATATATGACATTTATATTCAAAATATTCCTGGTCTTACAAGGAATCCAGCAATGTCAATTATATTATCCTAACTTTAATCTGAGGTATTATTTAATACTAAATGTTAAAATTTAGTTTTTTCATCCAAAATTTCTTGAAGGGAGGATTGGTGGGGGGTGGGGGGGAGGGTTGGGACTGACCGCACGGTTGGAAGAGGGGGGAGGCAAGGTGGGGTACTTTGATTGACAGATAGTGTCGTGAAGAATATTGTTTTTTTATTAACTGAAGATATTTGTTTTAGCTCATAAAATTCATACAAATTACCCGGCCAGAATATAATTTACATTGCTGGAATTCTTACAATTTGGTGATCAATTTGAATATAAACATCATAGATTTTGCATTAGACATACAAATTTTAGATATAATGTTTACTCGAGTAAATATGTTATCTTTTGTGCAAAATATATGACATTTATATTCAAAATATTCCTGGTCTTACAAGGAATCCAGCAATGTCAATTGTATTATCCTAACTTTAGTTTGAGGTATTATTTATTAAAATTTAGTGGTTTTCCCCCAAAAATTTCTCAGAGAGGGAAGAGCCAGCAGTGTAGTGTGAGAAGAGGGGGAGGGAGTCCAGTCCGTTATTTGAATGGACATTAACTTGGCGACTGTATTTCTCTACTTCTCTTAAGTATTAATTGTGTGCATGTACCATCATAAAATTAAGATGTTATTTTTACTAGAACATAGGTACACCTAAACCCCGACTTACGACTATACGGACTTACGTCCATTGGTACTTACGACCTGCTTTGACCGTACGTCCATACGGGACATACGACTGCGACCGCCGTGACCAAAAATTTTTTCAAATGACGCGCGCATTTTCTATACCGAAACGTTTCCGTCCCGGGCGAGAGGGAGGGGTGTCTTGGGCCGCCTCGTGGGTACACTCACTCAGTGGAGCGCTTTGTTTGTGTTTGGCTATCGTATCCTATACTGATCGCGCTGTGAACTTTCGTTATTATTGTATTAATTGACTTTATAATGACTGGAAAGCGTAAAAGTGAGAGTGCTGGTGGTACTCCAAGGAAAAGGAGACAGACAATTACTTTTGAGATGAAACTGAAGATAATAATGCAGTATGAGAATGGAAAAACAGTAGCAACGATCTCACGCGACCTAGGTTTCTCACACTCGACTATATCCACTATTCTGAAGGACAAGGAACGTATTCGTGAAGTAGTGAAAGGAACAACACCTATAAAGGGAACTATAATAACAAAGAAAAGACAAGGTCCTATCCACGATATGGAAAATTTTTTGGTGATATGGATAGAAGACCAGATGCAGAAGCGTGTACCCTTAAGTGTTCTAACCATACAGGCTAAAGCAAGAAGCCTGTTCCAAAGCCTGAAGGAGCAGGCAGGAGATGAATGTGATCAAACCTTTACAGGAAGTCAAGGGTGGTTTGATAGATTTAAAAAACGCTACAGTCTACACAGTTATGCCAAAGTTGACAGAATGATCCAAGATTCACTTGCTTGCTACAGAGAAATTTATAATGAAAAGAAAAAGCAAACTGTGCAGTCTAAATTGGACACCTATTTCAAGAAGTCCCCCAGTACTGGCTCCTCACGCCCCACCAGTGCTGCCTCTTCACTCCCTCAAGATGATCCAATACCTTCAACCAGCAAGTTACCACAGTACATAAACCTGTCTGAAGGAAGCGACATTGATGACCCACCCAGCCCTGTCTCCTCTTCTGCTTCTTCCAATTAATATAGTCTCCATGTATCCTGTAAATAGAAAATTATGGGGGCCCCGTGTGCATTCAGCTGACTACATTTAAGGTAAGTGCTCAGTCACACTGTATCCATTCCTCATTATTTATTACTTTTACTGTACTGTATCCATTCCTCATTATTTTTTACGTTTAGTGTACTGTATTTCATTGTAGATTTTTAAAAAAAATTGAAAAAAAATTTTGAATTTTTTTTTTTTTGAAAATTTTTTTTTTTTTATTTTTTTTATTTTTATCTATATCGGACTTACGACCATATCGGACTTACGACCTGGATTTGGGTCCCTAACCCCGTCGTAAGTCGGGGTTTAGGTGTATTGTGAAAAAGTGGAGTTTGGGGATCGGGCCAGTTTCTATTGGAATTAATCCCATATGTTCTGTTGTTCACTTAGCGCGGTTTTCACTTAACACGGTACCCTGTGGGTTTTATTGACCGCGTTAAGCGGGGTACTACTGTATGTTAAACTGCATAGGAACACTATGACTGGATATTACATGAATGATAAACTAGTAATTCTTATTAACAGATTAATTGGCACCTTATTATGGGAGGAACTTGGTACAAGTTTAACAAGGAATCTTCTTAGCATTCAGAAAAACTTAAGAACATACAGGTATCACTGAAATTTCAAAAAGTTTTGAGAACATTCTTGGGCACATATGACACAATGATGACCCCTATGAGATAAGCATATTGTATGGTAGGCATGGCTACATGGGAACACAGTAATACCTCCTTCAGTTACGAGAGCTTGAGTAGGTAATCTTAGATGGCAGCAAAAGCATATTCCATGTAAAATCTGAGTCTGTACTCCCCAGTGGTGTCCTAAAAGTCTTGGAGACTGATAGAGACCAGGTACTGATGGTTTTGGGAGAATAGGGTCATCATTCTGATCCACCTTGGGTTCATTTTGTTGTTTTTCTCCTTCAGCATCTTTTAAAATGTTTTTTGACAGTGGGGCTCTGTTGGTTTCCTGAGTTGACGTGTTTTTCAGAACATCACGTCTATGAAGAGCTTCAGCTATCTGTTGAGATTTAGCTTCATTATAGATTCTGTATTGAAATACTTCACTTACGCATACAGAAAATGCAAACATCATTATACATACTACAGTATATGTCATTTTTTAATTATTTTTTTCCATTTTATCATTTCCACCACTTGTCAGCTTATTAACCATTGAGAAGAGAAAAAACTGGATAATTAGTTTACTGGCTCATAGAAGGGACAAGTCTTCAGATTGTTATACTGCTTTGCTCTTTTGGAATGTCTAATGCACTAATTAGTCCAGTAAAGTGGCTTAAGGCAATGATTTGAGTTACATATTCTAGACAAACATTTCATAGCTGTCAAGCCTTTTTGTTTTATAAATTCTACTGGAAGGTGACCTATCTCACAAGTCTTACCATTTCTGAATTTGTTCAGTCACTTTAACTTGTTTTAAAATTTTTAACAAGACCTTTAATTCCTTTTTATTTCTTGTACAGTACAGGTACTTGTCTTTTTCTTCTTTTATCTTTAACAAAGAAATGGTTTACATTGAGTTTGTAGCAGGACAACACTGGCAGAATGAATAGTTTAAAAAAGAAATGAGAAAAAGTGAACAACTACTGTACGAACCTTGTATGAGTAAAAAAATTTTCTGGTGCCAGTCAAGGAATTCAAAAGAGACCAGCGAGCAGCTGGCCCTTTCTTCTCTGCCAGTGAAGACAAAAGGCACCAACTGTATACTCTGTAATGGTTCAGTAAGTTTAACATTATTGCAAATCTATTTAGAAAATCTTGCTAAAATACAAGTTACTAAAGTACTTTGTTGTGTTAATAACATTTAAATTTATTATCCTTATGAAATTTGTGAATCTGATCTACCACAAAAAGTGATGATAATCTTCAGCTTCATGTACCCGCTTTACCACAATGTACTTAGAGAACCTACTTTACTACACACAGTGTTAATAAACTTAAGAATACGTGTTCTATCACACAGTATAGACACTCTTAGTGTACCTGTTCGACGACATAATGTGTTGATATAATCAGAGTACAGTGGAGTCTCATTTTACTTGGGTCTTGCATGTGTGGTTATCGCTTACGTGATTGTTTGAAATGTGACCATAGTTATAGCTCACGCTGAAAGCCATGGGTTGCGCGGGAAGTGGTATAGCATTAATTTAGTGATTAATTGCTTACAGTAAGTCCTCGCTTAATGTAGGGGTTACGTTCCTAAAAATGAGACGTTATACGAAATAACATTAAGCGGATCAATTTTTCCATAAGAAATAGATAAAATACGGGAGTTACGTTCCTGAGCCTCCCTTTGCCCCATGAAAGACATCATATATACAGAAAATCATTGCCATTTCTATAGAAAATAGTGCATACATATACAACTACTAAGTTTGTATTGGTACTCACCGATGGGCGGATGTGGTAGAGCGAGTGTGTGGTGGGTAGTGAAGCAGATGAGGCGGATGGCGGGATGGGAGGAGTATGGTGGGAGCAGAGAAAGAGGGTGGGAGCGGAGGAGGGCGGGAGAGGAGGAGGGTGGTGAGTCACTGAGACTCTGCGCCAAGCCGAGAGAGCGTAGCGCGGCCAGACGAGAGAGGGTGATGCGCTGTAGAAAGTAATCCGTGATGACACAAAATGACGTAGTATCAGATCACTGGGACGTTAAACAAATTTTTGGTGTCTAAGGTCTAGCGACGTAGTACCTAAACAACGTTAAGCGGGACGACGTTAAGTGAGGACTTACTGTATTTAGCCACAAATTTAGCTATTTTAGTCATTTTAGTTATTGGATATTTTGCGTACCGTAAGTAATACAGGTACTGTATACAGTAATATCCCAGATATGTTCCTGAATAATAGAGCGCTATCCAAAACAGTGCTCTAAGGGGTCATTATGCCATTGCATATACAGGGTACTGTATGGATGCATTTCTGATGACATTAGTTTTTACCTATGTGATATATACTGTACAGTATTGTATGTGAAGGGTACATGTACTGTATTAATAAACACAGATTATTACAGTAACGCATCTTTACTAATTAATGAATGACAGTCGGTTGATGAACGAGTGTGAGACAGCGGGGTGGGTGGGTGGGTGGGTGGGTGGGTGGGTGGGTGGGTGGGTGGGTGGGTGGGTGGGTGGGTGGGAGGGAGGGAGGCGGTGGATATCATACGGTTCGACTCTGGCTGAAGCTAATCCAACTCTGCATCACTGAAATTATGATTTAGGTGGGGATAATACAGGCAGTGGAAATGATGGGTGGTGCTGGTGGTGAGGGAGACTGTGGTAAGTGGTGAGGAGGTGATGCCTCGATTGGCTTCTTCGGTAACACTGTCTTTGTTGCACTGCTAGACGCTATTGAAGAGCTGATATCTACCCACAAAATTTAGTGTACAGGTAAGTATATATATGAACAGCAGTATATCCCTTCAACATTGTTGCATAACATCTTAAAATACAGAGCGAGAAAGCAGAAAGGTGTGGGTGACAAAAAAAATGGAGAGAAAAAGAGTGGTAACACACACCTGTGAGTAGCTAAGTGCTCAACAGCTGATCTTGAACCTGCCACTATGCTCTTCAGTTAATCACACAATTTTATGTCCTACAATAAAGACCTACACTTAATATAGAGGTATTACCCTATTTATTATTAAATATGTATAATGTATTGTACAGTACAGGCGGTCCCCGACTTACGAACGCCCACCGATACGAATGGGGTTAAACTTGAAATTCACAGTATTTTATTGACCTGAGGACTTATTTTTACTTTCATTTACTGTATTTTGTAATTTTATTTCTTATTTTGTCTTAAGTGATTTTAGATTTATATAAGGAGTTAGGCTGTGATGTAGTGGGATTTCAAACATTGCTTTGTAAGTATAGGTATGGTATGCATATAGCATGTGTTTCAAATTACATACAAATCCGACTTACGAAAGTCCTCAGGAACAGAACCCGTTCATATTATCTTAAATGGGGATACTGTACAGGGGTTTAATCAGATTTGATATAGGCCTACTGAGGGCTAATAGGAATGAGGCCTTGCCCAATTATTATGTATTCTTATATGATCACCCTCTTATGGTGTTTTATCATAAATAATATGATATACAGCCTTAAATAACAGAGCAAAATACGATACTGTATATAATTTGACTTCAAAATAAAATGACAAGCGAAAGGAGGTGTTGGTGGTGTGGCAGTATTAGAGCACAACGAGTGGAGGCATGACCCAGCAGCAACTGATGCAAATTCTCAGCAAAGCTGAAGAACTCAAAGATGTTTTAAAGCAGTGGTCCCCAACCTGTAGTTTGTGGGCGCTGGAACCATATTTTGAAGTTCGCAAGGGTTTATGTATTAAAAAATTGTGATTTGGTGATTCTATGTAAAAATTAAATTAATGAAAATATGTAATAACTTTTGAGAGAGAGAGAGAGAGAGAGAGAAAGAGAGAGAGAGTCGGTTGTGTACAGGACACCTCCCATAAGGATCTTCAATTCGGTTAACGAACAAAAATTTGATTAACGAAATCCTTACGAACATCACGTTTTGTTGTGAGCATCAGCTGATCAGCTGATGGGCTAGTCTGCCAATTCAGTAATCTTTTCTATGTTTACATTCGTTTCCAGTGGAGTAAATATCAAGAAAGTTGTGCTCTTTAATATTTTTGCATTTTCATAATACAATTATTAGTCATCTTAACATTTATTTAACATATTGATAATATATGCAGTACAGGGAACTAGTTTTTTGTGCACCTATCAGCCGCTTGACTCAGCCAACAGGCAACAGTTGGGCTCTGTTGACAGTGGAGTGAACATCTATTTTGTTGGTGTCTTGAATATTTTGCATTTTCATTAAAATTATTGGTCATTCTGAAATTTAGTTAACATATTGATAGTATATAGTGCAGTGCAGTGTTGATTTAAATAAAATAATCTTGAATTACACCTAGTGAACTTAAAATTTTATGGGTGAAATGACGGCATCAAGCATGGGTCCCGTGAAAGGTCATTTCTCCTCCATCCCCACTTCCTTCTCTTCTCCCTTCTCCTCCACTCCCACTTCTAATTCCCATCATCATCATCAACCAGGAACCTTTTGCATACACACCTCAAAGTAGGAGTACTTTACTGCATTTTTTTTTTTTACTTTGTATGTACTTTTCGGTGAGCTGGAATCAATTACCCAATATCCCATTGAAACAATGGATTTGGTTAACGAAATTTTTGGTTAACGAACGACCCTCTGGAACGAATTGTGTTTGTTAACCGAGGGACCACTGTATATAACTTGTAATAGAACCGTAAAACTCCAAATAATTGTACAGTATTTATACAATTTTTTCTTGGATGTAGATCCAAAGTTTTGGTGCCTTCCACTATATTTACAATGATAAAGGTGGCCCAGAGCTTACAGAAGAGTGACAAACTCAGTGAACAGTTAGACAGTTTGGTGGAACCCTACAGGCAATGTTACCAGGAGTTTATTTAACACCGTCACCAAGATCTCATAACTGCTTACTTTACACCTCAACAATGTGAAGGTGATCAAGGAGAAACCAGTGACAATGACCCTGCCACTCTGGAGATTGGTGATGAAGCTGAAGTCACTTTACAAATGTTTGCAGTTGATTTTGATGGCTTTGAATCAAATTAGCCTTCACCCTCTGCCTCGGACGCCCATCATCTCCCAGAGCTTCCCACACCTCCACTATTCAATGGAGTATCACATAAAAACTTCCTGGGCTTTCTTAAATTATTTATTTAATAATGTAGTTGGAGTTACTGTGACAGTAAGTGTACAAGTAATTTTTGGAAGGTTAAGTAGGTTACCCAAAGTCATTCTAGAGAATATGGAATAAAGGTCTGGCAATTGCAGTACGATATAGTGATTTTAACATGTGTTAAATGGCATCGCTTGCGTGGAATTCTGATGCAAGGACATGTACAGTCAGAAACCATAATCTCTGACCCACTAGGTTGAGTAGGAGGTGAGCCTAGGGTGGTGTTTCTGGTCGGCGGCTGACTGCAATGGCCCCGAGGCCAGACACAGGTTGAACAGGCGAGGCGATAGTTCAACAAATGTACCTCGGTTTACGCGGGTTTCGTTTACGTGTTTTGTCATTTACGCGGTACCTTGCCAGAACCGGGATGCCCGATTTACGCGGTGAATTTACTCATTTACGCGGGTGAAGTAGAATTTTTTAATTTACTGAAGATATTTGTCTTATCTCATAAAATTCATACAAATTACCTGGCCAGAATATAATTTCCATTGCTGGAATTTTTATAAGATTGTGATTATTTTAAATATAAACATCATGAAATTTGCATTAGACATACAAATTTTAGATCTAATGTAAGAATTTTGATTACAAAGAGCCAACATTTTATGTTTTGTGCAAAATATATGACGTTTATATTCAAAATATTCCTGGTCTTGCAAGGAATCCAGCAATGTCAATTATATTATCCTAACTTTAGTGAGAGGTATTATTTATTACTAAAAATGTAAATATACTGTTTTCACCCAAACATTTCTCTGGTAGGAAGGGAAGGTGGGGGGTAGGGAGGGAGGGAGGGACCCAGCGAGCGTGGGAAGAGGGGAAGAGGGGAGGTGGGGTATTTTGATTGACAGAAAGTGTCTGGGTCAAGTATAATTTGTTTATTTACTGAAGATATTTGTTTTACCTCATAAAATTCATACAAATTACCTGGACAGAATATAATTTACATTGCTGGAATTCTTATAAGATTGTGATTATTTTAAATATAAACATCATGGAATTTGCATTAGACATACAAATTTTAGATCTAATGTAAGAATTTTGATTACAAAGAACCAACGTTTTATCTTTTGTGCAAAATATATGACGTTTATATTCAAAATATTCCTGGTCTTGCAAGGAATCCAGCAATGTCAATTATATTATCCTAACTTTAGTCTGAGGTATTATTTATTACTATGCCTTAAAATCTAGTGTTTTCACCCAAACATTTCTCAGAGAGGGAGGAGCTAGCGAGCGTGGGAAGAGGTTGGGGGGGGGGGGGGAGTTGAGTCCATTATTTGAATGGACATTAACCTGGAGACTGTATTTCTCTTTCACTTTACGCGATGCATCTACCCATATACGCGTAGAGTGTCTGGCGCGATGCTATTTTTAGATTCGACCCTCCCGCCTTCTCCTGCTTGGGCAAGCCGCACGGGTAGGTTACGCAGTGGATGTCCCTATCATATGACGTATCGGACTGTGATTGGGCCATGCATCCTTACCTCCCTTCGCTGCTAGCTGTGATTGGTTTAAAGTAATATGACGTGTCCAACCGCGGGAGGGAGGAAAGACGACGCTTGACCGCGTCAGTTGCATCCCTCCAGGCCACACCGTGTAAACCAGTATCCATTGTTCTGTAAAATGGCTTCCGCCGGACCACCGCCCCCAGAGAGAAACCTTGCATTACCTGGACCCAGCCACCCTAAGCCAAAGAAGATACGACGTTCCCTAAGCTACGAAGTGAAATACAAGATCATTCAAGGGTTGGAGAAAGGAACACGTCAAGCTGATTTCGCGCGCCAGCATGGAGTCAACGAATCTACGATTCGTACTATTAAGAAGGATGCAGCCAAGAACAAAGAACACATGAGAATCACAAAGTCTGCAGGTGCTTCAATGATCAAGTATTGCCAGAACAAGGTGCTGCTAAAGGTTGAAAATTTGCTGGTGAGTTACTTGACTCGTCAGGCGCAACGCAACATGGCGGTGGACACGCGATCCGTTTAAGAAGAGGAACAAGATCTCCAACATCAACATTGGTGGTGAAGAAGCGAGCGCTGGCCGTGTGGCAGCTAGAGATTTTCCTCCGTCCTTACGTGAGGTTATGGAAGGACAGTACACGGACGACCAGGTGTTCAACATGGACGAATCCGGTCTATTTTGGAAAATGCTGCCTACCAAGACCTTCGTTGTCCAGTCTACCAGCAAGATTCGGGGCCGGAAGTTGCAGAAGGAGCGCATCACCGTCCTCTTTACCACCAATGCCTCCGGTACCTGTAAACTCAAGTTATCGGTGATCCACACAGCCCGCACGCCTACAAGAACGTGGACATGAGCAAGATTAATGTCCATTGGCTGACCTCACGTAAGGCGTGGATGTTCTTTGCTATGTCACTCTCCTGGTTTGATGACTGTTTCGTTCCCGACGTGAAGAAATTCTGCGAGCAACAGCATGTTCCATTCAACATTCTGTTGCTCCTTGACCACGCACCAGGACACTCGCCACTACTTATGGATCGTCACCCCAACGTAAAAGTGGTCTTCCTTCCTCCCAACACTACGACATTAATCCATCCCATGAACCAGGAGTTGATATGCAATGTGAAAGCTGCATACTCTGCAAAGAAGTTTAAGCTCCTGAACGACTGTACCAACACCAAGGATGAGTTGCGTAAGCTGGGTGACACTGATAGCGAGAGCAAAAGCGACGAGGAAGAGGACAAGGAACAAGAGGTGGTGAATCAAGAAGTTCTCGTCAAACAGTTTTGGAAAAAATTTAACGTCAAACAAGCTGTGGACTTCTTGGTGGAGGCATGGGATCAGCTGTCTGTAGCAACGATTCGTCACGCATGGAGGCATGTGTTGCATGGTATCCCAGGTAAGAGGCGGAGTCAACCTGTGACTGGTGAGGTTCAGTCTGTTACAGTGGCATTGGACCTTGCAAGAGAAGCTGCGCACAGTATTACAGCTGAAGGCTTCTCCGAGACCACCAACGAAGACATCCTGGAGGTGATCAGAGAACCTGAAATGACTGCCGACGAGATGTTGGAAGATGATCATGTCAGTGAAGAGGCAGGTGGTGCGTCAACCCCAGATGAACACAAGTTAATGCATAGTAATGTTAAGGGTGCCATTGAGTGTGCAGAGAAACTGAACTTCTTCCTTTCCAACGACCATGACGATGACCGCTATGAAGTCTTTCATACCCGGCTGGTGCAGGCTATGGAGCCGAACATCAAGGTGTATCAAGACATCAACGCTAGCCATCAAAAAAGCATTACCGAGTTCTTCGCCCGCAACCCACCACAGCCAGCCCGAGCCAGTGACAGTGACAGCAACCACAACTTGTATGAAGTATACAGGTATACTGTCCTCAGTAACTCTTGCCAGATTCTTCACTTTGTGGTATTAACATTATTTACCGCTGCTTAGAGGTGTGATGTTTGATGTTTCATAGTTTAATATTTATAGAAGGCAGCCTAACGAGGTGATGACCTTCACAGCCAGCAGGAGTTGTACTGACAGCCCAACGATGTGTTCAGTGTATCAGAGAACTGTGTATGTTAACACAAAGCATGAGACTTGGTCTGCTGCTGTACTATGACAAGATTATGTAGTGTGGGACATAACATATAATAGATTTACTTCACATTTGTGGCAGCAGTAAAAGTAACATTATATTCAAAGTAAAGGGGAGGTATGACCTGAACGACTGGTGATGAGTATTCAAGGGTATATGATGCTCTGTGTGTTCGTGTATGTGTTGACACTGTGAGCAGCCGTCCAGTAAGGACCCCTGGTCTCACCTACCGCTCGACCTGAGTGGGCCAGTAATTATGGTTTCTGACTGTACCAGTACAATATATCCACACAAAATGAGACCCCACTGTACAGTACATATCCTACAACACATTGTGCTGATAATCATAGTGTACCTATCCCACTACACCTAATGTTAATAAAAAAACAGGAAGAGAACTATATATTACTAATGAATTTTTCACATGTACTTTATAAAAAATAAATTATAACATTTCAAAAAATGTAACTAAAACAAACCAAAAAGTTACCTCTTTGATAATATTCCAGGTGGAATCCTATCTTCCACTTTGGTTAACAGCTTTAAGGTTTCTACTGATCCAATTCTTCGAAGGATGTGCACCAAGACAGTTTCCCACAACTGTCCTATGTTTGAGACACGGGCTTCAGGTGATATTTCACAATTATTCATTTGCTCTTCAACATGTCCATTAATATCTTTGCCTGAGCTAAACATTGCTTCAACTTGATTATCCAAATTTTCTGGATTTAAATCCCAAATATGAGGCTCACCATTTACTTGAAATTCATATTCAAATTTGGTTTGGGTTTTATTATTACTATCTGTCTCTTTTCCTGAAAAATTTATTTTATTCTGACATTTATAACACTTCATGACAGATGAATCTTCACTTGTCATATCCGCTAGTGTATCAAACACTGTTACAAATTCCTCCAGAGGTAATACCTCCATGATATCATCAAGGAGATGTATATTACAGTTTTGAACAATGTATGGAAAACACTGACTAAGAGACTGCAGGTTGTATGCTACACTAATGGTACAATATCCCTTCCAGTATCCTAAGCTTTGACATAGCTCAGACACATTCTTAGCATCCAATATGTCATAGGTCAGCAGGGTATCTGCAAGAGTCTCTAGTGCCACAGGTCTGTAACGTGGTAAAGGCATCCCACAACTGCATGAATATATGCTAGGGTTAGCAGCACTTAATAAGGCACTTAGAATGTCATACTGAAGCTCTGGACATAAACTCCAATAATTCAAGTATAATTTCGTCAAATTTCTATGACGAGAAAGTTCAGTCAAGTACTGTAAAAGGTGCTTTTGTGACTGTGATATACTGGTTGTACATCCTATTTCTAATGATTGAGTTGCTATATGATTTAATATAAATATCACATCAACTATCACAGTAGGGTTTTCAATCTGAGCTGCAGCAGTGATGAAATTCTTCATATTTCCAGAAGAAGCAAGTGTGTGGAGAAATGACACCCGCTGAGATCGAGTGAAATCCAAATCAGGAATAATGTCAGGCAAAAGATGGTTACTAAATTTATCATTATCTCTTGTTATCTTTTCAAGAAGTGCTGTCCAAGTCAAAATGTAATAATGTTGGCCCAGAGTTTCTAAGGCACTGAGAAGGTTTGAGTAATGAAGCAAACCACAATCATTTGATATTAGATAGGCATACAAAAAGTCTACTTTCTTAATTCCTTCAGGTGTCAATGGGTGTTGTAGAATGTCTGGCTTATGCATGCCAGAAGCTATTTTAGTATTGTAAATACTACTGATGCTTACTCCTGCCTGTAAACACTGGAGAAATAACTCGGTGATCTGTTCAAGGATGTCAGCACTCATTGCAGATGGCTCAAAGCCAATATCATTACTGTCCCAGTGAAGAGAATCACATGAAGTCCCTCCACTCCCATGTGAATGCGAAGAATCAACTGAAGATAAAGACACAGGTCCATCACCAGGTATATCTTCACTGGCTTGTGGGGAGAGACGTTTATTTACTTGAATCTGCTGAACAGTACTAAAATATACTTCTAACCAATGAGTTAAGAGGTCATAAGCTTCTGTTCTGTCATCTGTATTTATTATCTGCTGTACAGTTGATGTCACCAATTCATGCAAGTTTCGGACAACTCCTGGAAGTTCTATGCTAGGTCGTATCACTTCATCCGTCAGTTGAACAGCATTTGACCTATTAGCAGATGGCACAGTCCCAGAATTATTACGAGACTGTCTCTTCTTTGGTTTTGTTTTAATCACAATGTTTGTATCAAAACCATCTGTTTGATCATTGTCTCCAGATGCGCTGCTTTGTAATTGATCTTCCTGATCTGTGTTTGAGTTGCTTCCAAGCATATCTAACATAGAAAATGAACCATCTGTTGATTTCCTGGATGGCACATCTCCTGATGATATTAGTGGTGTCACACTTCTTAGTCTTTCTGTCAAATTCTTAGTCCCTGATGTTATAGTTCCAACCATATTAGTGGCAACATTCTCCATGAGATCCTGTAAGAGAGTAGCAGCTTCTGAGCCAGGATGAATTGGAGCATAAGCAAGGTTATAAAAATTATGGGAATCACATGGATTAACTGATGACTGATTACTATCCAAGAAAATTCTTGTTGCCATCTCCAGGTCAGGTGAGCTATTATCAGAAGAGAATAAAGGATCTTCATACATTTCTAAAGAACTCTCAAAGCTCTTATGAGACGATTTTGGGTCAGACTGTTGAGAACATCTTCCTGAGGAAGGAGTAGGACTACCAGTATTGAACTTCCTATCAAGATCAGGATCTGGACTGCTGCTCTTTCTCTCTGATGAGTGTGAGGCAGTACTGCATCCATTGAGGGACTTATTAGATGACCTAGACCGCAATGTGTCCTCACTAGAAAAGTGATTCAAAGATATGTGACTCTGTACTTCCTGCAGGTATGTTGAAGTACTTCCAAGATCTTTATCCACCTGTGCACGATGCAGTGGACTATTTTCAACTGAAACTGTGCCACGAAGAGCAGCAGATCTTTCCTCCTGTGCTTGATGCAGATAAGGTTCACTGTACCACCTTGTCACTGACATTGGTAGAAACATTTGATGACTAAATTTGAAAAAAGTACTGAGACCATCTTTAATTTCTTCATCTTTAAAACTGTCATTCTTGACATAAGTAACACCAGACTTTGAAGGTAAAGTGTTGCTATGTTTATCTTTTTCTTTGTCTAAACAAGTGAGAGCTTTTAAACTCTGTAGTCTCATTTTTATGTCTAGACTCATTATTTGATTAGAGAGATCTGTCAAAATTTTTGTTTCTAGACGAGACAGTAATTCAGACTTGCAGAAAACTTCTGGATTTTGTAAGCACAGTCGAGCACATTCGACTGGCAAGTTACGTGTGTGCAAAACCAAAATTGCAATATCTACTGTAGTTACCATAAAGTTCTGTATGCACCCACTCCCAGTTTTATAGATCAGTGTGTTCCCTGAAACCTTGACATCAGTGACACTGTCAGAAACACTAATCCATAAAAGTACCTTAGAGTTTGTTGGGTCTATAATATACAAACCATATGTCGAGATAGCAAGGAGATAATTGCTGTAAAAGCTGAGCATTTTGGTAAATGCTACACTGACTGGTGGATGTAATGCAACTGGTGCTGCCCTACTAAAATTTGGTGCAGCCTCAGAATATTCTCTTTTAAAAATTTGATTCTCAATGGGATCTCCATCTTTCTGATCCACATACTGAGGCTGAGACTCCAATAAATTACTACCTGGTGACTCATCAATCTCATCCAGCAATTCTTGTTCAGAAAATGATCCATCTGTGAGAAGCACATCAGCTGGAGGCACCATAAGAGCCCTTTTGAGTTGATGAGTAACGAGGACTTTTCCTGAATGATCTGCCTCCCATATTCTTGTACCTGGACGAGCACAAAATATCCTAGCTGCTACTCCAGTTGACAATACACCACTTGCATTTTCTCTGTCAGGTTTAATGTTTTGATAGGCTTGATCCTCCTCTACAGCCTCATAACAATCTGATAATCCAAATTTTCCTGAGCTAGATAATGCCTGATCCACACTTTGGCGATCCTCTAAGCTTTCATCTAGTTCTTTCTGAGTATTTCTTGTATACTGGGTGGCTTGACTGAAGCTACTGTCTGGGTTCACCCGACAGAAGCATCCACCATATTCACCCTGTCTTAACTTTGTCCCAATCTGTGTGAAAGTCTCGAGGCTTGTGTTGCAAATGTAAGAACGGGCGAGAGTTGACACCAGAAGGTAACCATCACTATAATCCAGCTGCATAACACTTGATTCCAGAGTCATCAGATGCACACAAGAACTTCGAAATAGAGAGGCAGTCTGCAATAAAATAAAATAAATATACACTTGGTTATGATAAATTCTTAGATTTTAACTAATGAGACTTTTAGCAAGTACAGTAACTGTACCAAAAAATACGAGATAGATATCTTACACTGCCCAACAAAACACTACAGTAATCAGTCTACAGGAAAGCAGGAAGTATACTGTTATCAGGGAAGTGAGAGATAAGATAAAAGGTCAAGCACTTAGGTGAGGATGTAAAGTGAGTACAATACAGTAGTACCCCGCTTAACGCGGTCAATTAAACCCACAGGGTACCGTGTTAAGTGAAAACCGCGTTAAGTGAACAACAGAACATATGGGATTAATTCCAATAGAGACTGGCCAGACCCCCAAACTCTACTTTTTCCGACACAAAACCTATGTTCTAGTAAAAATAACATCTTAATTTTATGATGGTACATGCACACAATTAATACTTAAGAGAAATAGAGAAATACAGTCGCCAAGTTAATGTCCATTCAAATAATGGACTCCACTCCCTCCCCGTCTTCTCACACTACACTCCCTGGCTCTTCCCTCTCTGAGAAATTTTGGGGGGAAACCATTAAATTTTAATAAATAATACCTCAAACTAAAGTTAGGATAATATAATTGACATTGCTGGATTCCTTGTAAGACCAGGAATATTTTGAATATAAATGTCATATATTTTGCACAAAAGATAACATATTTCTCAGAGTAAACATTATATCTAAAATTTGTATGTCTAATGCAAAATATATGATGTTTATATTCAAAATGATCATCAAATTGTAAGAATTCCAGCAATTTAAATTATATTCGGGCCGGGTAATTTGTATGAATTTTATGAGCTAAAACAAATATCTTCAGTTAATAAAAAAAAAATATTCTTCACGACACTATCTGTCAATGAAAGAACCCCACCTTGCCTCCCACCCTCTTCCAACCGCACGGTCCCGTCCCAACCCTCCCCCCCACCCCCCACCAATCCTCCCTTCAAGAGATGTTGGGTGAAAAAACTAAATTTTAACATTTAGTATTAAATAATACCTCAGATTAAAGTTAGGATAATATAATTGACATTGCTGGATTCCTTGTAAGACCAGGAATATTTTGAATATAAACGTCATATATTTTGCACAAAAGATAACATATTTACTCAGAATAAACATTATATCTAAAATTTGTATGTCTAATGCAAAATCTATGATGTTTATATTCAAAATGATCATCAAATTGTAAGAATTCCAGCAATGTAAATTATATTCTGACCGGGTAATTTGTATGAATTTTGTGAGCTAACACAAATATCTTCAGTTAATAAAAAAAAAAAATATTCTTCACACAGTAACATATGGTCGGTCGGTCCCTCCCTCTCCCCCACCTCCCACCAATCGTCCCTACCAGATGTGTGGGAAAACCAGAATATTTACCTTTTTAGTAATAAATAATACCTCAAACTAAAGTTAGGATAATATAATTGACAGTGCTGGATTCCTTGTAAGTCCAGGAATATTTTGAATACAAATGTCATATATTTTGAACAAAAAATAGGATATTTACTCAGAGTAAACATTATATCTAAAATTTGTATGTCTAATGCAAAATGTATGGTGTTTATATTCAAAATGATCATCATATTGTAAGAATTCCAGCAATGTAAATTATATTCTGGCCGGGTAATTTGTATGAATTTCATGAGCTAAAACAGGCAGTCAGGCAGGGTGGGGCGAATCTAAAAATAGCTCTCGAGCCGGACACTCACCGCGTATACGTGGATAAAACCAGCGTTAAGTGAAAGTTCAGCTCTGGCGAGGCACCGCGTATACGGTAAAACGCGCTAAGCGAAACCGCGTTAAGCGGGGTAATATATATATATATATATATATATATATATATATATATATATATATATATATATATATATATATATATATATATATATATATATATATATATATATATATATATATATATATATATATATATATATATATATATATATATATATACATATATATATATATATATATATATACATATATATATATATATATATGTATATATATATATATATATATATATATATATATATATATATATATATATATATATATATATATATATATATGTAATATTCAGAAATTTCAGAGTAATTTCAAATGCCCCGCCAAGAGTGATACTGAGCGTTCAAGGTCATCTGAGGGGAGGGAGCGCTGCCTGCTCGTAGCGAGAGACTGTGGAACTAGGCCTATATGATATTAAATGTAATTTACCGAATTAATAATGATGCGATTCATGAAGTTAAGGGACTATTATTGAATTTGAAATTATTATAGATCGTTTAGCAGTCTGAATAATGTTACGGGTGTCCCACGGAGTTATTAGTTAGGCGGAAAATATGTCACGTAGACCTAAGCTAACGCCTTGAGGAGACGCGACGCTGCCTCTCTCTCAGTCGCAGGGAGGATTCATACAAAACAAGACGTCCCTGCGCGTCTGTCACAGAAATAGTCACGTGGCCTAGTCACCTGTGCTGCGCTATTGCAGTATAACAAGTAAGTCTCATTCGATCTCAGACAGGGTTAGATAGGGCAGTGATAAAGTAAACTAGAGCTAACAGTGAGTTCATTTCAGGGTTTCCGTCAGAACCCACTTGACTGGAGTTGACCGGAGTTGACTGCGAGAGATTGACTGCCGTTTGAGACTGCCGTTGACCGATCAGTGTAGGCCTGTCACTGTTTAGCGGGGTAGCAAAGGATCTCTTGAGTGAACGAGTGCTCCCGACAACTAAAACGACACGGGACCAGCATCAGCAGTGGGTGATCAGTTCTTACCACTCCGGTGCACAACCCCACATGTCCCGAGCAGCTAGTGAAACCCTCTTGCTAACGGGAAGCTAAAGTTTCTCTCAACTGTACAAGGTCTGATTGGCTCACTCCCTTCCGCTTTATGGACGCACTGGGAGTACACTGAGGCTATCTGAGTAAACTAATGGTCACACACTGAGACCGTGAGTCTAGGTCTCTAGGAGATACCTAGAGGAACATTTTCCCTCCCTTATTACGGGTGTAGTTAACACCATTCCTCAGACTGATATTATCTTGACGTGTGTAGTTTAATAGTTCCTAAATAATTTTGATAATATTGTTTTGAATGTCTGTGCCATTAAGTGGAACCAGAGTGATACTGTGATTTGATTCTTTTAATGCCTCTAATTGTTCTTCATAATTCTGATCTCAGGTATAACCTTGTTCCCCAGAGTAGTGGTTAGGTTAGGTTAGGAAGTGTACATCTGTTGGGGTGCTATAATTTTGTTGAGAGCCCTTAAGGCCTATTCATTGTAGAGTATGTAATTTCTTATTTTTTATTACCATTTCCTCAGTGCCTGGTATTATTTTGTTGAGAGCCCTTAAGGCCTATTCATTGTAGAGTATTTAATTTCTTAATTTTTATTACCAGTTCCTCGGTGACTGATATTATTTTGTTGAAAGCCCTTAAGGCCTATTCATTGTGGAGTATTTAATTTCTTATTTTTTAGTACCATTTCCTAAGTGACTGATATTATTTTGTGAAAGCCCTTAAGGCCTGTTCATGTGTGCAATTAAAATTTCTTAATACTTCAAATTTATTGTTGCCTGTGTTTCTAATAATTTCTATGTCATTTATGACTTTTATTCCCCAGAGTAGTGTTTTAAGTTTAAGTTAAGAGGTGCGCATATTGGTGTACCATTATTTGATTGTGTTTGTAGTGTTGGAGGGAATATAAGTGTCTAAATTTTACAGTGTGTCTCATTCATCCCAGTCACAGACGCTATCCTTCCACGGATCACGGACAATTCATTTTGTGTAGTAGATTTAAGTGTTCTTGTGCTGGTTCGGGATTTTTCTCAAAGGGGCGCTTCCACTGCCATTACCATCTATTAAATTTTAATAAACCCCAAGTCAAGTGAGAAATTAAAGTCCAGCAAATTCCGACCGGTTATATATATATATATATATATATATATATATATATATATATATATATATATGTATGTATGTATGTATGTATGTATGTATGTATGTATGTATGTATGTATGTATGTATGTATGTATGTATGTATGTATGTATGTATGTATGTATGTATGTATGTATGTATGTATGTATATGTATGTATGTATGTATGTATATGTATGTATGTATGTATGTATGTATGTGTGTATGTATGTATGTGTATATATATATATATATATATATATATATATATATATATATATATATATATATATATATATATATATATATATATATATATATATATATATATATATATATATATAGGGGGCAGTGAAATTTTGCTCAAAGCTGCACTCTTCAGGCATTGTTCCTTATACATACAGTGGGGTATGCTATAACGAACGGATCCTACTACGAATATTCCTATAACGAACGGTTTTACCTATAAAATTGAGAATGCTATAACGAACGCAACTCCTACAACGAACGCGGATGAATACGGGACTATTTCGCCTGGCGCATGAATATTGTTGTACCGCCACCCACAACAAGAGCGTCAGGCGCCATCTTTGTCTCATTTTGTAGCCAGTGCACCACTGTTATTGTTGAAATTTCGTCTTTTGATGTGGAAATTCGCATTATTTGTATAACTATTTTGTTATACAAGTATACAATTGTAACAATAAATTGTCCAAAGCGAGTGAGAAAGCTAATAACCCTTGAAACTAAGAAAGAAATTATAAAGAAACATGAGAATGGAAGAAGCATTGCAAAACTTGGTGATGAACATGGGATGGCTAAATCGACTATATGTACGATTTTGAAGAATAAAGAGGAGTTAAAAATTGTGCAAGTGGCTAAGGGAACCTTTAGACTTAGCAAAGCAAGGTGTAATGTGATTGAAGAGATGGAAAATTTACTCTTAGTGTGGATAAAGGAGAAAGAAATGGCAGGTGGTAACATTAGTGAAGCTATAATTTGTGAGAAGGCCAGACAATTGTTTGAGGACCTT